GATCAAATTAGTTCTAATCAAATAGGATCAAGTCTTATAAAATTAATGAAAAAAGACTAAAGTAAGAGTAAACATTGAAAATATACTAAAATGCATTATATTACCAATCATGACTATGTAAATTATCAAAAAATATAGTAAAATACACATGTAGGTCATGTATAGTGTCACATTACCACGGTGCGAACTTTATAAAATCAAATCACATTAGTGAATTAAATCAGATCTAATGTACACATGTCATAAAATAAGGAATAAATTCCCAAAATGGTATTCAAAAACTATGTGTTTTCATAAATTAGTTCCCAAAATTAAGTAATTTCTAAGATGGTACTCGTTAATTGAAAATAATGCTCAGTTGATTCTCCCAACTATTGGCTGTTAAAATGGCGTTAAAACGACGTTAAATTTTATACTACTTTCCCAAAGTGATACTTTCTAACTGGGTGTTTTTTTCAAATTCGTCCATTTTCAAAATAAAAATACATTGATTATGGAAAAATATTTTCAATTCTATAGGATGATATTATAATACTTAAAACTACAAATCTAATTTTATAAATTTAAAAGAAATGTTTTCAATTATTCATAATTATTTAGAAGAATATGTATATGAATTATTTAATAATCGTTAAAGAAATCCTTTATATATAAATTTAAGACTCCAAACTCTAAAGAGTTGACATGTGGCATTGTTAGGAGCTGACATGTGGCATTACTAGGAGGCGACATGTGTCATTATTTATATGGCTTTTATATGCCATCCAATTTTCTCTTCATTTTTAACAAAGTTTTAGAATAATTAATAAAATACTCTCTGAACTTATAAATAGATTTTATAGTGGTTTATTTTACATTTACATGAAATTAATTTGATTATATTTATTTAAATATGGACACCTAATAAATAAAATGCTTTTTTCACCTATAAATACAATTTTTAAAATAATAAACAAAGACTCTCTTAACCTCTAAATAAATTTTATAGTGTTTTATTATATGTTTACATGAAACTGATTTGATTATATTTATTTAAATATTGACACCTAATAAACAAAATGCTTCTTTCACTAATAAATAAATTATTTTGACACCTAATTATCTAATATGCCACTTATTTACAATATAAAAAATGTGAAATCAATATTTTAGTATGAAATTCTTGGATAAATTTAAGTATGGAAAAAAGTATTCGTTTTAATGATAATATCCTTTCACGATTCAATATTTTTTATTCTCTTCTTTTATAACGAAACTTTTAACCAATAACAATACAAGTATTTGTTTATGATATGTTAAAATGAAGTTAGTTTTGATTAGATTTGTTGAAATATTGATGTAAAATTAAAAACAAATAATATATTTTAATACTACATTAAAATATAAATAAAATATGAGATGACTAAACTATAATTATATTAAAATAGAAAAATAGTAAGCGTAATTTCATAGTTTGAATATATTGATTTTATGATTTGACTTTTTTACTATAAAAGTTATGGTTTATAGTCCTAAGATTTTTTATGAGTTAAATTGAAAAATATTATATTTTTAATTATTTATTATGATATGATATTTCTAATTAATTATAGTTAACAATTGATAAAAAATGTGTAACTAAGGCATACTATATTTATACTAACATTGCTTATGATTTCAACATTATTTAGTAAATATAATTATGAAATTGAGATCATTGCTTTTATTAGAATGTGTTTTTCTAATTCACTTTATTTATAATAAAACTATCAATGAATAAATAAGATTTCCTTCCTTAAAAAAGATACTTTCATGAGCTCTAAAAAATCATATTTTTATGACATGCTTAAATGAAGTTAGTTTTGATTTTACTTTTATAAATTTTTGTATAAAGTAAATTATAAAAAATACATTTTAATATCTACACTAAAATACTACAAAGACTAGACAATTTTTTTAAATGATCAAATATTTTGATCAAATCTTTATATCTTTATATATATAATTTGAGAGTTGAGCTCATAAAACTTCGACATGTGGCTTGATTACACGGTATTTTTTTTGACAACTCAAATGCCACATACTTTATGAATACTTATGGAGATTAAACCATGAGGGATCTAATTATGATTTTTGCCTTACTAATGTTTAATTTGAAATGAAAATATACATATTAAAATAAACTTTAAAAAAGTGTAAAGGGTTTAGAGGTGGTATTTTAACCAAATCATTAACTTACCTTTTATAAGTGACAGACTAGAATGCATAGCCATTAAATTTAAATATTTATATTTACATTTTAAATCTTTATAATTAGTTTTAACATAATATAAAGTGAGAATATTTATTTAACATAATAAAATAAGATATAATTCTATTAATTAATATAATTAAGAATAAAAATAATTTTAAAAAATTCTAATAACTTATCAAATAAACATATTGTGTCCTTTGAAAATAGCAATTTGGGTTCTATTTTTACACTTTTTGTTGTATCATTTTGATGAGAAAAATTTGTAGTAGGTTATCAAAAATACAATTTACTTTTCCGTTCTAGAAAAAAGTATTTGTAATTTAATAACTTATAGTGAATTATCAAAAAATAGGAATGATGAATGAAATAATGGAAGTTGTGAAAGCTGGAAGATTAGTTTTTCTTTTGTGTATGGTTATGGAAGAACTGGAAAAACATTCCTTTGGAAATCATTGTCTGCTGTGCTTAGATCGAATGGTAAAATTATTTTAAATGTTGCATCCAGTGGAATTGCAGTATTGCTTTTACATGGTGGGAGGATAGCGCATTCAAGATTCTCGATCCCTTAGTGTGTATGATGAATAAATTTGCTTTTGAGGCGTTAGATCACACATTGAGAGATATTATGCGGTTCTCTAATAAAAATGCTGGAAATGAACCTTTCAGAGGAAAAATCATTGTGCTTGGTGGTGACTTTTTTCAAATCCTTCCAATTTTAACAAGAGTTTCAGGAGAGGAAATTGTAGAAGCTACCATCAATTCATTAAGTTTGTGGTCATATTTTAAAGTCATTACATTGACTAGAAATTTTATATTGCATTTATCTGCATCCACTTCTGCATACATGCACATACAAACTTTTTTTGAGTGGATAATACAAATTGGAGATCGACAGTTTGATGTGGTTAACGATGAAACTGATGATATTGAAATCCTAATAGAATCTTTGATTCTTAACTCAGGTTCTCCGCTTAAGAGTATAGTTAAATTAACATATCCAGACTTATTGAAAAATATGAAAGATTATACTATCTTTATGGATAGAGCGTTAATAGCATTCATGCTTGAAGTTATTGACATGATCAATGAATTTGTTGTCTTTTATAGTTTTATTCCTGATGATGAAAAAGAATATTTGAAATTTGATTTTTCATGCTATGCAATTTCAGATATAGACATAGATGATGATTGGATAACTAATGAGTTTTGAATGATATCAAATGTTCAAGAATTCTAAACCACAAAATATATAGTTTTGAAGAAAGAAGTACCAGTCATGTTATTAAGAAACGTTGATCAAACATCTGAGCTGTGTAATGGTACAAAGTTAATTGTTAAAGAGTTGTGAAGAAACGTTATCGTTGCAATTGTCGCATCAGAAAACAATGTCAGGGAGAAAGTTTACATACCATGAATGAATTTGGCACCGTTTGATACTGGATTATCATTTAAGTTTTAAAAAAGACAATTCCCAATATTTTTATGTTTTTATATGACGATCAATAAGAGTCAAGACTAAATATTGTCAGTTGTTGGATTATTTTTTACCAAATCAGTACTCACTAACGGTCAACTTTTTGTAACAGTTTCACGAGTTAAAGGAAAAAGAGGATTGAAAGTGTTAATTTCATATGACATCGGTAATTCTTGCAACTTCACCAAAAATGTGGTTTACCCCAAAGTTTCCTAAAAGATTTGGATTCAAATTATACATTTACATGTTTTTTAAGATTTATATATAGATGAATTACATTGTCATTTGTTGGATTATTTTTTACCAAATTAGTATTCACTCACGGTCAACTTTATGTTACAGTTTCACGAATGAAAGGAAAAACAAGATTGAAAGTATTAGTTTTAGATGACAATGGTAATCCTCGCAACTTCACCAAAAATGTGGTTTACCCAGAATTTTTCTAAAAGATTTGGATTTAAATTATCCACTTACATGTTCTTTTAGATTTACATATAGATGAATTTTGGTTAGCAAATGTTTATGGTATATCATTCATTAAAATTTACAATTTGATATTATATTTTCTCGATTTTTAAATCATTAGCTAAGAAAAAAAACAGAGTAAAAGAAGTATTCATTCGATCCCGTGCGTGGCACGGGTTAGAATACCAGTAACCCAAAAATAAGAGCTTTTTTCTCTATGTTTTACCCATATTTAGAGTGATTTAGTATCTAAAACATTAATTTCAAATTTATAGTAGTATGTTTATAATTTTTAGTATTATATTATTATCTTAAAAAATTTAAAATATTTTTTCATAATTAATACTCCCTCTGTCCCCATAGATCTTCCCATTAGCTCTTTTTATTTGTCCAATATAGATCTTCTAATTATCTTTTTAACAATTAAAATACCATAACTATTCTCACTTACTTTATTTATTACACCTCACCTACCTCATTTAATACACTACATCCATTTTCATTCCATCCATTTTCATTAAGGGTATATGGTAAACTTTTACTTTTTTTAAATCTACAAAAAAAAGAAAAGATGCTGGGACGGAACGGAAGGACTGAAGGAGTATATTTTTAGGACCATGCTACACTTACCCCAAAAAATGTACCTCAATTGTACACCACAGTTATGCACAAACATTTTGATGGTTTACACTGACACAAGTGTCGATGCGTCAACAAAAATTTACAGAGACACAAATGTTGGTGCGCTAACAAAAATAAATAATGTTGGTGCAAACCTGCCGGTACAAATTGGATATAAATAGCTTAATCCATATTTTTATTTCGACTGTACCATTTAGCGCTCCCTGTCTGCCCCTTTCGCCCTCCATCGCGGTCTGAATGCGGTATGGTTTATCAATTTCATCGGGGAAACATCTTTGCTCTTATATCATTCAATTGAAGGATGGATGTTAGGGACGCGGTTAGAAATGTTGATTTTTATTTATTTATTTTGTTCTAATTTTGGTGCTGAAGTTTTGTTCACACCTCTCTTCTCTGCTATTCAATTTCCTCTTTTTTCTTGTCTTCAACTTTGTTCAGGTTTCTCAACAAAAGACAACAGAGTTATCGGCCTTAGTTTCCCTGGAGAAGGTAACACATACCAAAATGAACAAACTGTATTTCTCCGTCATTAACATATGAAAGAGTATACTAACTGCTTTAAATCTAAACTCTACATCTCATATTGGACAAAAATTGGAGGGTTGGTGTTGGAGGTTATAAATGTCATCCTAATGTTAAGAAATACAGGTTATTAACCCATGCTTTGGACGAGCTCATATAGATTGTGTTGCAATGGAATTCTAAATACTGATTGTATATTTGGATTTTCTTTTAAAACAATTCTTCAAGTGTCTCTTTTTGTTGAAAAAGTTAAGTGTCTTTTATTGAAAAGAAAAGTTCATGTTCCTATCTTTTGTGTGATAATTGATATCAATATTCAATGCTCAGTAGAACAGAAAATAGGATTCCACTAGTCATTTTTCACGGCAATGATATCATTATTGTTAGAATGATGAATGATACAATAAAACTTCATAGGCTGCATTCTGTCTAACATTTATGCTTCCGTTTTGGGATTTTTGTGGAATGATGAATGACTCAATCAACCTACTAGTCATTTTGGCTCCATTTTAACATATTTAGTTACTGCAAATTAGAAGAATATCAAGTAACTTACTTTTGTTCTTCATTGTTACCCACTGTAATTTTTTTATTAAGTTTACATAGATGGGGGCACTGCACTGCCCATAGATGATGGGAAAATTAAGTTGTAGACTCTAGTTTGTTAGCTATTGTGCACTTGGGCCTGAGCCTATATTGCGAGGATAGAAGAAATAAGTTGTAGACCGTAGTAGTGTTGCTTCTTTTCTTCTTCAGATGTTATGATAGTGTTGCTTTGTTTACAGGATTATTGCTTCTCTGAACAATATCTGGATTTTAGTTCTGGTTTGTGTAGGTATCATATCTCTTTATATGTGAAAGGCAATATTGAAGATTAAGGTTATTACATGATATTATTAGTAGCTCAAGAATAAACTACATAGAGGGAACAAGTTCCCAATGTCTTATGATGTACAATTTAGGTATTCCACTTACACACATATACTATATGAATTCAAAGACAATTGAAAAAAAATACAAATGAAGGACACTGTTTTTCTTTTTGACCAAAGGAAATATCAAGCATTACCCCGACCTTAATACATGGAGTACGTTATTAATAAGCTAGAGTGGCACAGAGTCCACAAGCAAAGCTATTATGTGAGGTTTCAGGACTTTTTCAGGATGAGTGTATCCGTCTTGGTTGTGCCGATATGTAACAAACACAATACGAGCTAAGTTCACAATACGCCAGAGTATATCTCCAGATACAGGTCTTGGCTTAAGAATTCCTTCATTTAGATCTTTTAATGCAATTTTTGCTGATTCTTGGAACTTTTCCAATGCTTCTTCTAGTGATACACCATATTCATTCATGTAGCATTCAATACCTGTTGTAACTTGTCCTCTCTCTTTCTCAACATGTGGTTGTAAAATTAGCAGAAATAATTAGCTAAGCATATATAATGATATATATACCATACCAAATGATATGGATTCTTTCAACAAAAAAAGAAGCAAATTATATCATATATATATATATATATATATATATATATATTATATATGCATTTCTTACATCAAAGGTAGCGATGTCGTCGATTAGTCTGCATAAAGCTACACTCGCCTCAAGAATTTTTGGATTCTTAATTAACCAGTCAAATACTTGTTCATCAGCAGACTTCACTCCATAGCAAGATATTGTGGCTAACAAATAGTAGGTGCAACTAACAAATGCATTTCTTAAGTATTCAATAAATACAGGCTTATGTCCTTCAATAAACCACTTGGCCTCAATAAAGTAGCATCTCACAAGCTCCTTCATCTATTTAATTGAATAATAAACACAACATTAGCTTTCTGAAATGATTATAATAGATGAAAAATTTAAAGAAAGATAGCACAATAATTGTATCCAATTGCTATGGCGAATTTTAGTTAGTATACTATACTTACCCTCTCCAATCTCCATTGCGTGTTGAACAGCGTATGATCTTCCATCCTTGGAGAGGTCTTCGACGTCTTCGTCAAAAAGATCTAATAAAGCTATGTAGCTTATCTTCATATAGTTTGGAAGGCGATCCATTTGGTCAACATTCCACCTAAAGTGAATGCAAATTAATTAGTACAAACTTAAACCATTGTGCCATACTACACGTAGTTTGTAAAAGGATTGAATCGTGTAGACAATTCTATATTGCGATTTAGGAAAATATAAGTGCTTACTTGCATATAGCATCTGTGTAGACCTTCGGTTCTTCTATGGTACCATATGCATCATAAGTGTCATCTAGAATTGAAACAATTAAAATATTTTTGGCAAGCATTACTCGAGCCTTGGAAAATTGCGGCTCAAAATACACTCCAAGTGCCCAAAAATAGCATTCGACTGCTCTGTCCCTTGCATAAGGCAGAGTTGTCACAAAGTCTAGCTCTTTCCACCACCTACATTTGTAAGAAAACTTGAAATTCAAAACGGCATGAAGATGCACATGCTGCCTGTTTATATAGAATATATATAGAATGTACCGAGATGATGACAAGAATGAATGACTAACCTTGACACTTCGCTCTGTTCTTGTTTGTGCAGCATCTGCAGAAAGTTATAATCTAGCTTTGCAAAGTGGAGCAACATGTCATTCTTAGACATATCATTTTCTTGCTCATAGACTGAAATGAAAAAGCGTGTTTCAATTCTAGGCATGCCGGTGTGCAATGGTTGCTCGAGGGCGTGCGCCACAAGCTTCTCCAGAGTGGATTCTGATTTCAAATTTTGATTTACACATTGAAGGCGAGTCTTGGTGAAAGTGAGTGCGTCGTCCAAAACGTCATCGCCATGTGTGCTCGCATATGAAGCTTCATACAGACTCAACAAACCCTTGATATCGGAGGTATCCTTGAATTTGTTGTTGTTATCAACGAAGTTGTTCAATATATCTACATCCACATCAAAATTATTTGAGACAGTTTTCCAAGTAAGTAAAGTGAATCTTATACGTCAAAACTATAGCTACGTCCATGTTATTATACGAAATGATATTGGCTGTGTTTACCAGAAGAAATCTTGAAGCCATGTTGTCTGAGCAGGCGAAACTGAAGAGAAATAGTCTCCAAATCATCATGAGAGTGTTGTGCATGATGATGGGTGATGTAAATGTGCTGCAGTTGATCTTCAATCTCTCTCTCGAAATGATAGGCTACTCTGAGTCGTTCAAGTAAGTCGATGAATTTCAGTTTCTCTGTGACACAGTAGTTGGGTAAATTTCACGTATGGTACACCAACTTTGAAGTTTATTTCACTTCGGTACACTAACTTTATTTTCTTTCAGAAAAGTACTCCAACTTAACACTTTCTTTCACCCATGGTATTTTAGCCAGTTTCTAGGTTAATACCCGATTACCTATCCTACGTGTATGCCTACTTGGCACACCCATTTAAATCACTCCCTTCTTCTCTCTCCTCTCTCCTCTGACGCAGCATCATCCCTGTTGAAATGTTTGAGGCTATTCACTGGGCTTACAGATGAAGAAATTGCGGGAAAAAGGGGAAGGGAAAGGTCATTTTTTTTCTCATTTGTCGAGACGGTGGCTAGGTTTTTCAGTTTTGCAACAGAGGGGGGTGTGTTTCAGGTCTTTTGCTCTCTCAATTTCGATTTCATTCAAAACGAAGAGGACGCCCTTGCTGTTCTGTGTGGCACCCGCGAAGAAGAAAGGAAGCTCCACTCATGTCAGGTTAGTGCATGTCTTAATCTAAAGGGGTTTAGTTGCTCATCATCATCCATGGGTAGGATTTTATGTTACAATGTGCAGTATTGTGAAAATATTTGGGATTTCATTTTAGTTTTTTTTTTGTATTCCATAGATTCAGAGAGTTCAGAGACTTCTGAGAGTTCACAACAGATGTTGGTTTATGATATTATTGTGCACCATGATGGGGTTTTAAGGGAATTTGGATACTACGATGAAAAGAAATTTTTGTTGACTATGGATGTTGATAGAATGTGTATGAAGTATCTTGATAAATTGTTGGCAATAAATGGAATTAATGAACTGGTTAGGTATTATTGGAGGGATCATAGAACCCCTTATCACAATGGTTTGAAACCCCTTCAATTTGCTGATGATACATGGGAAATGTCAAGGTGTGGGTGTGAGTATGGTTCTGTTCATTTGTATGTTGAGAGTGTAGGTGAAGCTAAAATCTTAAAGATATGGAATGAACTTAATACCCCTACCCCCAAACCAAAACCTGGTGTTGTTATCGAGGACCTTGATGATGAAAGTCCATCTGTTACCCATCCATTGAAATCTAAAAAAAAAGGGAAGCTGGTAGTTCATTGAGAAGAGTGTTGGCCAAAGGTGAACCATCATCAGTGATTGGGGATGAACCATCACCTGTTGATTTCCAACAAGAGGACAAGAGTGAACCAACAGTGGTTGAAGAGAACAAGAGTGATCCACAAGAGGACAAGAGTGAACCTCCAGTACTTGAAGAGGACAAGAGTGAACCACCAGTGGTTGAAGATGAAAGAGTGAATGAAAATTGGGGCTTTGCTTCTGATAATGGGTGGCAGAGTGTGTCAATGAATATAAATATGGATGATATGGCAAACTTGTCTTTAAATGAGAACTAGGACTTTGTTTATGATGACTGGACTATGGCTCCCGAAACTGTCAACAACACAAATGGAGATAGCCAAATGGGTGGCCAGCCAGGTGAAACAGGGGATGGGGGTGAAGATCCTGTTGAGGATGGTGATGATGAAGGGGGCTCTGAAACTGAGAGTGAACATGCTGTTGACAATGGTGATGATGAAGGGGGTTATGAGTCTGAGAATGAAGATGTTGTTGATGAAGGAGGTTCCAAGATAAAGGGTCAACATGTAGGAGCTGAAGGTGAACATGTAGATGATGATTTATATGATGATGACTACATGGTGGAGGTTGGTGATGAGGATTATACTGAGAATGCAGAAGAGTTCAATCTTTTCAGAGAAGGGCATAAAAGTAATGGAAGGCCAAAAAAATCCTGACCAAAGTGGGCATGTAAGAAATTTAGATTGTGTGGTTGGGACTTGAGAGTGATTCATCAGGCTATGGTGATTCAGAAGAACTACACACAGAATCTGACAGTGAAAATGGGGGTGGGGAGAGATATCCTTCATTTGATGCAAAACTGGACATAGGTAAAGGCAAATTCAAGGTGGGAATGCTGTTTAAGAATGTGGATGGTTTAAAATGGCAGTGAGGGAATTTGGAGTTAGGTATAGATGGAAGATCATATTACCAACAAACTGCAGAACTAAGGTTTTGGCAAAGTGCTCTAATGGATGTGGGTTTAGAATCTTTGCTTCTAAATTTCACCCCAAGGACCCACATGACCCTACTTTTCAGATTAAGAGTGGCTGTTTTGAGCACAAGTGCAAGAAAGTTCATGAGAATTATCATTGCACTGCTGAGTGGATAGCTAACAAGTACTTGAAAGTGACTGCTTTCATCCCCATGTATTAATTTTAGAGCTTTACTCTTTGCTCTCCAAGCCTTAAGGTAGTTGATGTTGTAATGAAAGTCAGCAGCCACTCTTGCAATTAGGTGTTTCAATTCCCAATTTAGGTTCACCTGGCTGGCCACCCATTTGGCTATCTCCATTTGTGTTGTTGACAGTTTCGGGAGCCATAGTCCAGTCATCATAAACAAAGTCCTAGTTCTCATTTAAAGACAAGTTTGCCATATCATCCATATTTATATTCATTGACACACTCTGCCACCCATTATCACCCATTATCAGAAGCAAAGCCCCAATTTTCATTCATTCTTTCATCTTCAACCACTGGTGGTTCACTCTTGTCCTCTTCAAGTACTGGAGGTTCACTCTTGTCCTCTTGTGGATCACTCTTGTTCTCTTCAACCACTGTTGGTTCACTCTTGTCCTCTTGTTGGAAATCAACAGGTGATGGTTCGTCCCCAATCACAGATGATGGTTCACCTTTGTCTTCCTCATGTAAAATTCCCTCAGGTTCTGCCTGGCAAATGGCCAACACTCTTCTCAATGAACTACCAGCTTCCCTTTTTTTAGGTTTTAATGGATGGGTAATAGGTGGACTTTCATCATCAAGGTCCTCGATAACAACACCAGGTTTTGGTTTGGGGGTAGGGGTATTAAGTTCATTCCATATCTTTAAGATTTTAGCTTCACCTACACTCTCAACATACAAATGAACAGAACCATACTCACACCCACACTTTGACATTTCCCATGTATCATCAGCAAATTGAAGGGGTTTCAAACCGTTGTGATAAGGGGTTCTATGATCCCTCCAATAATACCTAACCAGTCCATTAATTCCATTTATTGCCAACAATTTATCAAGATACTTCATACACATTCTATCAACATCCACAGTCAACAAAAATTTCTTTTCATCGTAGTATCCAAATTCCCCTAAAACCCCATCATGGTGCATAATAATATCATAAACCAACATCTGTTGTGAACTCTCAGAAGTCTCTGAATCTATGGAATACAAAAAAAAAACCAAAATGAAATCCCAAATATTTTCACAATACTGCACATTGTAACATAAAATCCTACCCATGGATGATGATGAGCAACTAAACCCCTTTAGATTAAGACATGCACTAACCTGACATGAGTGGAGCTTCCTTTCTTCTTCGCGAGTGCCACACAGAACAACAAGGGCGTCCTCTTCATTTTGAATGAAATCGAAATTGTGAGAGCAAAAGACCTATAACACACCTCCCTCTGTTGCGAAACTGAAAAACCTAGCCACCGTCTTGACAAATGAGAAAAAAATGACCTTTCCCTTCCCCTTTTTACCGCAATTTCTTCATCTGTAAGCCCAGTGAATAGCCTCAAACATTTCAACAGGGATGATGCTGCGTCAGAGGAGAGGGGAGAGAGAAGAAGGGAGTGATTTAAATGGGTGCGCCAAGTAGGCATACACGTAGGATAGGTATCCGGGTATTAATCTAGAAACTGGCTAAAATACCATGGGTGAAAGAAAGTGTTAAGTTGGAGTACTTTTCTGAAAGAAAATAAAGTTGGTGTACCGAAGTGAAATAAACTTCAAAGTTAGTGTACCATACGTGAAATTTACCCTATTTTTTAGTGAGCCTATCACATTAGGCAAAATTGACTTGGTGACATCCTACCAGCCGCCGTCACAAGTTTAAATACTCCGTATCCTGTATATCACTATATCCTTGAGCTTGATTTGACTCCCAACGATATTTTTTATCCATTGATTGTGTTTCAAAAAACACTATTAATGCTCCCTTTGTCCAAAATGTTTGTAATATTTGCTTTTTCAAAACTCGTGGAATTTTTTTATTTGTATGTTTTCATTGGTTATTTAACAAAATAAAATATTCTTGACACCTCTTATTTCGAAGAATTTTTCATATAGTTTGTTAATATGTAAATTCTATTCTTTATTTTTATATCAATATTTAAATAAAATAAATTGAAAAAACTTGATATTTTGCCTCAATTTTTAAAATACAGTAAATATTTAAGGACAGAGGGAGTAGTATAAGACTCCCTCCTAGGAGCGAGCACGATCTAAGACAGTCTGTGAAATTATCAGAAATTTTTACGGACAATGCTTATTAAAACAATATGTTGATTAACTTCAAATTTGTTTGGTATCATTGCATTTTAAAACAAAACGATACAATATCATACAATGCTAAAACTGTTTCCGAATAAAAAAAATCAAGCATCCATAATTCAAATTTTGAAATGAAAACATAATTTTGTTAAAAAAAGTATACAAAGTTAAAAGATCATAATTACAAATTGTTGGAGATTAATTTTGAATTCAAATTGAATTTGAAATGAATAGATACATTCTTTATTTTGAGGACTTATGTTCATTGTTGAATGATACAACTCTTTAAAATTTATTTTGAATTCGAATTAGAAGTTTTTTTTAATGAATGGGCATGACTCTAAAATAAGAGATGACTATTCTTAAAAGGCATAATCTTTTTCTATATAAAGGGAACTTGCCACAGTGTGAAAAGAACAGAAAAATATTGAAAAAAATAAATTATTATTAATTATAATTCATTTATTATCTAGAATAATGAAGAAATAATTTTTGTAATTGTTAATTCTATGATGATGAAATAATAATAATTAATAGCATGTACAAGAATAATTTATTATTAATTACTCCGTACTATTTAATTAATTATCTATAATAATGAAGGGATAATGTATTTATTTCTTGTATTCATATCAACAAAAATGAAATATTAATTAATGATAATATGTACATGAATAATTTATTATTAATTATTTTTCTATGTTTTTTGTCCCCTTGGTTTTGAGACCATTGTCATTAAAGTACATTCGCGAATTGTATCGAAGAGCAACAGAGCAATTTGGTCTTCTTCGTTGTATCCCAAAAGTTATATTTTGTAACCCTTGTTGCTTATAAAATGCCAGATAAGAAACTTTGAGGAAAGCGTTCTATATAAAGGGAACTTGCCACAGTGCGAAAAGAACCGAAAAATATTGAAAAAAGTAAATAATTATCAATTATAATTTCATTTATAATCTAGAATAATTAAGAAATAATTTTTTTAATTGTTAATTCTATGATGATGAAATATTAATAATTAATAGCATGTACAAGAATAACCGTACTATTTAATTAATTATCTATAATAATGAAGGAATAATGTATTTATTTCTTGTATTTATTCTACAAAAATGAAATATTAATTAATGATAATATGTACATGAATAATTTATTATTAATTATTTTTATATGTTTTTTGTCCCCTTTGTTTTGAGACAATTGTCATTAAAGTACATTCGCGAATTGTATCGAAGAGCAACAGAGCAATTTGGTCTTCTTCGTTGTATCCCAAAAGTTATATTTTGTAACCCTTGTTGCTTATAAAATGCCAGATAAGAAACTTTGAGGAAAGCGTTCTAATTGATCACGTGCCTTGAGGCCGGGTTATCCAGTTAATTTTAAACCCTGTTCCGAACTAAGTGTGGCTTGATCCCTGTCATTGTAGTACATAGGCAACTTAGAATAATTTTTTTCTAAGTGTAGTGACAATAATAAAATAATTTTTTATTGTTCCAACACAAACAAAGGATGACGAGTCTACATTTGAAAAGAATGACTCTTTTTTTTCAATAATACTGTATTGGATTACTAATGGGTATAAAATAATATTAACAATAATCATTATAATAATTTTCGTAAATGTTATTTGAAAGGCAAAAATTAGCATAAATAATTCGGTGTTTCATTATTCAAACAAAAATAATTTTAAATTATACTTTAAAACAACAACAAAAAATGAATTGAGCCCCACAAGAAGTCTTGAAGATTTATGGAGATGTGGGGTATCGATTTCAATACTGTATTGGATTACTAATGGGCATAAAATAATATTAACAATAATCATTATAATTTTTTCATAAATGATCTTTGAAAGCAAGAAATTAGCATAAGTACTTCAGCGTTTCATTAATCAAACAAAAATATTTTTAAATTATACTTTAAAAACAGTAGAAATCATCCTAAATAGGACTAAAACATAGAAAAAAGTACCAAAATAGGACTTTCATGTTTATTTTCCCGGAATAGGACTTTGCACTGTGGTAATGTGACTTTGCATTGTGGTAATGTGACAGTGTATATGAATAAATTACTATACTTTCTTGGTAATGTATATGACCATGTTTGGTAATGTAAGTCCTATTTTGGGAATAAAAACATGGAAGTCCTATTTTGGTATATTTTCAATATTTTAGTCCTACTTTGGTCTTTCTCTCTAAAAACAACAACAAAAAACCAATTGAGCTCCACAAGACCAAAGCCTCAAAGATTTATGGAGATGTGGGCATAAAATAATATTAACAATAATCATTATAATTATTTTCAAAAATGTTCTTTGAAAGGCAAAAATTAGCATAAATAATTTGGTGTTTCATTATTCGAACAAAAACAATTTTAAATTATACTTTAAAAACAACAACAAAATCAATTGAGCCCCACAAGAAATCTTTAAGATTTATGGAGATGTGGGGTATCGATTTCAATAATACTGTATTTATCACTAGCATATATAGAACGGTGAAGCCCTACCTATCAGCTTAAGCTTTTGGGTTAGAATTGTAGATCCCGACTTTATATGCAAGTGGTTAATTTTACCCGACACTCTATCCGTTGTTCTCGGCCCACCGAAATTTTAATATGGTATCAGAGCAAGTTCGGTCCGAGTTTGATTGTTCCTGGTTGTTTGGATGTGGGTTTAGCAAAATGAGCTACCCGTCTGTGGTTTGGGTTGAGTTGGCTAAAAAGAGATTGAGATGCCACCGCCCGTTGTGTGGGCTAGCTATAAGAGATTGAGATGCTGGACCCGTTTATCCAAGTGCTAACTAGGCCACGCTAGTTACCACTTGCGGGGGAGTGTTGGAGTTCCCACATCGAAAAATAAAGATGAGTATCACTAGCATATATAGAACGGTGAATCCCTACCTATCAGCTTAAGCTTTTGGTTAGAATTGTGGATCCCGACTTTATATGCAAGGAGTTAATTTTACCCGACACTCTATCCGTTGTTCTCGGCCCACCGAAATTTTAATAGTATTGGATTACTAATGGGCATAAAATAATATTAACAATAATCATTATAATTATTTTCATAAATGATCTTTGAATGGAAGAAATTAGCATAAGTAATTCAGTGTTTTATTAATCAAACAAAAATATTTTTAATTTATACTTTAAAAACAACAATAAAAAACCAATTGAGCCCCACAAGACCAAAGCCTCGAAGATTTATGGGGATGTGGGTATAAAATAATCATTATAATTATTTTTAAAAATGTTCTTTGAAAGAAAGAAATTAGCATAAATAATTCAGTGTTTCATTAATCAAACAAAAATATTTTTAAATCTATACTCCTATATAAAAGCAAAAGATTTTGGAGTTAATAAAAAAATGGTGTTTGGAAAAAAAAAAGAAGAGATTTCCCGCCCATGAAGGGCTAATGTTATTGATTGAGTTTAATGTATTCATTTATTGCACTTTTAATTGGCAACCTTTGGTCTTCTAAAAAATTACACACGGCATTCCAACTTAACTACATTTAATTCACGAATGCATTTTGATCTTGATGAGAAAACTTTTGCAATACCAATATTTTTAAAATAGGGTGCGTATTCAATATTTTAAAATATTCAAACTCTAGAATTTTCTTTGAGCATTTTCCAATATAAATACATTTATACTCTTATACAAAAGCAAAGGATTTTGGAATTAAAAAAGTAAAATGCCGTGTGAAAAAAAGCATTTTCCCGCCCATGAATGGGCAAATCAAGGCCGTCCATCTTCTCCAATATAAATCCACGGACAGAATACAGGAAGTCTCCATTAATTGCTCTTGGGAAAGTTCATCCGTCATCTAATTCTTTTTATTTGTAGCCCCTACATTGAATGAAGATAAATAGGAGTATTATTTATTGCAGAGAAAAACTGGCCTTTCATTTCCCTAAAGTGAATTTAAGCCAATTACGAAGCATTAAATATATACTAATGAGATTAGTAAAACTTTCTTTTTTCATTTTATTTAATTGGTTGTTAAAGTGTATCAATTATGACTACAAAAATTATAATTAGACAAATACTTGAAAACATATGTAGTACTCCCTATATTCCTATAAACATTTCCTACTCTGACGGAAAAAATAAGGAGTGTATATTTGTGATTAATTTTCCAATTTTGCTCTTGATGTAATAGATAAAAATGAGAAATGATTGATAGATTATTAGTAAAAAATATGATGCGATAGATATGCATGATAAGATAAAATATGAATAAAATTAATTTTTTAATAGAATGTGAATATGTTTACGGAAAAGAAAAAAATAAAAGATGAAATGTATATTTTATAAAAACAAATGGAGTGCTTATATCTTACTCCATATGATATTTCCTATTTGTGGTTTTGATCTCACAACAAATCTAGATATTTCAAGTATTAATGACAAAAAATCTTTGCAATATATTGGGAAATTAGGAAATGTATCAACAAATTTACTTATAAAAAAACTTTTCATTTCACTGCACTTTAATAATTACTGACCCAACTTTAATAATTACTAACCCAATAAGTGTTTGAATTAGCAATAAATAAAACTTTTGGAATTCCATTCGTATTAAATTAGTGTACGTATTTAATGTTTGAAATTATTCAAAATCTAGACTTTTCTATGAGTATTTCCAGTATAAATTCATTCTTTCTATCTACTTCCCGGTGCATATACGTGAGTTATCCCAAAAAATATTACACTTGGAATAAAAGCAATTCAAGGAGGAGAAGAAAACACAGGTTACATACCAGTTTTCTCCACAAATTCAATCTTCTTTCGTTTTATACTCAGCATACTACGTCATTTTTTTATGCATTGTTCTGAGTCAAGAAGAAAAATACACATTAAGCTAATATTTATTTGATAAAGAAAATCACTAACTTCTAATACATTTTCTTCTTTTACAGGTTTTTGAAGAAAAGAAAATAGGAAATTAGTCTAAAAGCATAAAAAATAAAGGAAAATTTTTTCAAATTTCTGGAAGGACAGAGATGAAGAAAATAACAAAGTTTGGACAAATTATTAAAAGACAGATTCATAAATTAAAAGAATGATAAAAGAATGTAAATAATACCTTACCCATAACATGAAGAATTTTAGGAAGTGGTCTTCAGGACAAATTCAATCTATTGCGATTTACCTTAAAATCTGAAATTTATAATCTATTGCAATAGTTTATAATCTATTGAAATCAAACGCAATAGTTTTTTTGTTTCCAGTTTATAGGACGTAGGGAGTACTTAAAATCTAAAAACGAAAAAAAAAGTGTAGAACAGAGCATGTATAATTACCAGAAAAATCAAATCAAATATTGAACAGATCAAAGATCAAACGTGTTTAAAAAAACTGGAATTTATATAATAATTATAAATTTAAACTACCAAATTCAAATTTAAATCTGAAATATTGGAACATCATTCAACTAAAATGACGCAAACTATGAAAAAAATATTGATTTGTAAGGTAAAAAAACAAAATTACAGAAAAACAATATTAGATGTTGAAGATCTACATTATTTCAAAAAAAATTAAATATTCTCTATTTTTCGAATCTGTATCAAGTAATCTGTAATCCCAAAAAAAATTAGGTTTATGAAAATGAATTGCATACTTTAGATCTACAAATTCGAAACTATATGCATGTCTAGAATGAATTAATAATTTAAATCTAACCACTTAAAAATGAAATTTACAGATAAATGTTATACATCTAACAGTTCTAAAAAAACTGTTCCTCTTTACATCTCGAAAAATTAAACATCAAACGTTTTTGGAAAAATTACCAGAAGAATCAAGATTCCAATGTGGAAGACAATTGGAAAAAAAAAAAAGAAGAAACGAGATGAAGAATGTCAAAACCTGTAGAAAGACATAAGAGAAAGAGAGAAGTTGATTGAGAGAAAATAGGGGATGCCGCAGATACGCCTTCCCTTTTAGTAACTTCTTCTCTTTTTGTTTTTTGTTTTTTTTTTTGAAATCTACTCCTTCAGAATTCAGATACGGCTGCTCTATTTTAACTTTTTCGAGTTAAATATAGTTAAATTTTAAATTTGAAATTATTAAATAATAGTAATTTATTAGAAAATTAATACGATTAATTTACTGTAATTGTATAATTTATATTTCCTCCATTTCAAAAAGATTGATACAGTATGACTAAAATAGAAATTTAAAAATATATATTTTGTATTGGCTTTCCAAAATGACTTTGATGTGGTTTAAAAAAATATGTTATAAATTATTAATAAAAATGTATGCTTTGATAGATATGATATTAAAAAGTAAAGATAAATGTGATTTCTAAATAAATATAAAAAATCATTTACAGGATGTACTTTTTAAACGTTAAAAAAACTTGGGACGAAGTTTTAATAACTTTTGTTTTTTTGCTTTTAACACAAAATATTTTCTTGGTAAAAAGTTTTAAAATCATTTAACAATTTTTTTCTAAAACAAAATAATCAATTAATCTTAATCGTTAAAAGGTCCTACGCATAAATCTTTGAAAAAATTGCACACGTCCTAAAATTGTGAGCTTTGCTCAACAATTACAAGTGATGCAATTCAGACCCCACAGTTAGTCGAGATTTTGTCAAATGAAACACGAGCAAAACATACTTCATTTGTAATAGAATATTTGCGTCAGTGTTGGTCTTTTGAACCTGTACATTAGGATGAAACGAATAACGAACTTGAAGTTGAAGATCATTATGAATATGACGACGATCCAAAAATTGATAGTTTCAGCATTATAGTAGAACATACTTTGAGAGCAAACAATTCAATTGTTGGTGATGTTACGCGACTGAATATTGGTGATCTAACATTTACATGTTCAAAACATGGGGCGTATATTTGGTATGATGAACGAGTTGCAGTTACACGTTGCAATTTCCAAAGTTACAGATCGTAAGGATTTAAAAATACTAATATGCGATGAGAATTGCAAACTAAAACGGTAAACAATGAATGTTGTTTATATAGAAGTATTTCATAATTTGTAAATACTTTAGCAATGACTTATGTACTCATTTTTCTTAAGTGTTTTAATCTAAAAAAATCATCTCATAACTATCAATTCAGATTATAAACATACATTAATATATATTAAGTGAAATAACTTAAAAAATTTAATTATTAATGTTCAAAGAAAATTTTTGGCCGTGCAAAGCACGGGTATGATTCTAGTTATACTTTAAAAACAACAAAAAACCAATTGAGCCCCCACCAGACCAAAGTGGGTATAAAATAATATTAACAATAATTATTATAATTATTTTCATAAATGTTCTTTGAAAGGAAGAAATTAGCATAAATAGTTCAATGTTTCATTAATCAAACAAAAATATTTTTAAATTATACTTTAAAAACAACAACAAAAAACTAATTGAGCCCCACAAGACCAAAGTCTCAAAGATTTATGGAGATGTGGGGTATCGATCCCCTCTTGAAAGATTTGTGGAGATGTGGGTATAAAATAATATTAACAATAATCATTATAATTATTTTCAAAAATGTTCTTTGAAAGGATGAAATTAGCATAAATAATTCAGGGTTTCATTAATCAAACAAAAATATTTTCAAATTATACTTTAAAAGCAACAACAAAAAACCAATTGAGCCCCACAAGACCAAAGTGGGTATAAAATAATATTAATAGTAATCGTTATAATTATTTTCAAAAACGTTCTTTGAAAGGAAGAAACTAGCATAAATAATTCAGTGTTTTATTAATCAAACAAAAATATTTTTAAATTATACTTTAAAAACAACAACAAAAAACCAATTGAGCCCCACAAGACCAAAATGGGTATAAAATAATATTAACAATAATCATTATAATTATTATTTTCATAAATATTCTTTGGAAGGAAGCCACAAAAACCAATTGAGCCCCACAAGACCAAAGTGGGTATAAAATAATATTAATAGTAATCGTTATAATTATTTTCAAAAACGTTCTTTGAAAGGAAGAAACTAGCATAAATAATTCAGTGTTTTATTAATCAAACAAAAATATTTTTAAATTATACTTTAAAAACAACAACAAAAAACCAATTGAGCCCCACAAGACCAAAATGGGTATAAAATAATATTAACAATAATCATTATAATTATTATTTTCATAAATATTCTTTGGAAGGAAGCCACAAGAACAAAGTGTGGAAGATTTATGGAGATGTGGGGTATCGATCCCCATACCTCTCGCATGCTAAGCGAGCACTCTACCATCTGAACTACATCCCCTTTTGCTTTAATTTCACTTTATACACTAAAATAATTATAACTTATGATTAATATCACAAAATGACCTGAGAATTAGAGATATTCACTTATTATCAGAAATGGTCAATGTGCTAGAAGCTAATTGCTTTATTCTTATTCAGCAAAAGAATAATATAGCTAAGACAATAAAAATAATTAAAAAATAATATTATTAAAAAGAAAAAAACTCAATAAAAACATAAAAATGTAAAAGTGAATAAAAAAGTCATCTTTGTGCGTGTTTGACAATTCTTATATTATAAATTTAGATGAAAAGTGTTATTGTATTTTCATTTTTAGTGAACTTCCCCATTAATTTTGGAGAGAGGATTTCATACCAATGAATCTTTGGTGCCATTGTATATTCGTTATATATGCATTTACAAGTTAAATGGTGTACATTTTATACATTTATTTTAATAATTATAATTATTGAAATTTGAATAATATAAAAAGTGCACGTGAATAGTCTTTAAATAACTATTGGAACGAATACGAAGAAGTTGCAATAGAATTGAAAGAGTTTGAAAAAGTTGAAAGAAATTAGTAATAGTGGGAAGAAAAGAAGAATTTAGAAAAAAAATGTATGAAATTAGAAAATATTTGAAGTTAAGGATGCATTTGGTTGGGAGTTGAGGAGGGGGTGGGTGGGAGCGTGTAGGGGGAAATGGATATTTTCTCAGAAAATTAATTTCTTCTATAGAAGAATATATAATGATTTGCACGAAAATTTCTTTTCCCCCATTTTTTTAGATTGTTTGGTAAGAATAATTTTATTTAAAAAATCATTTTCCATTATTTCTTAGAAAGAGAATTTAAAGATATTTTTGGCAAAATAATTTGTTTTTTTATGTACGATCGGTATCAAATCTCCATTATAGAATTCCATTCTCTAGCTAGGGTTTGGGGGAGTAGGAGGACTTCTTTGCTCTGTTCATTGAACCAAATGACTCGAAGAGTAAGTAAGAAAATAAACTTTCGTCCAAAGAAAATTAAAATCATTTTCTACTCTTTGAGTATAAAATATTTTTCCTCAAATTTTTTTACCACTTAAGTAACCAAATGTAAGAAATTAAAATTGGAATTTTCTTGAAATATATTTTCTCACAACCAAACAGATCCTAAGAATATATTTTTCTTGTAGAAAAATTACATAATTAAAAAATCATTTAGCCCGTGCATGACACATGTTAAAATTCTAATTAAAAAAGGGAGAGATACAAGTAATTTTTTGTGGAACAGATAGAATATTATGCTAGCATGATTTCTAACACTATTAGTACGACATATAACATTAATAACATAGAATATACAAAAATCATCACTTTGTATCATAATATTCATATTTTTCAGTGGTTATTTATTGTTAATAATTTTCTTCTTTTACATATTAAATATATTATTCAATTAATGTTTTTCATAAAACACATAAATTCATAATACAAATTATTGAGTGCAATGTATAATGGTAAGTTAATTAATAATTATACATATGATCATCATAATATTACAAAAAATAATAAAATTAGTATGATAATTTTAACTTTAATTTGAATCAAATTAGATTGGGTTAATTAATAATTATACAAATGATCATCATAATATTAAAAAAATAATAAAACTAGTATGATAATTTTAAATTTAATTTGAATCAAATTAGATTGGGTTCCTTCATATCAGAGCTAATCTGATAAAATTACTACTCCATCAGTCCTATAATGTTCTTCTAGTTTCTGTTTACGAGGTTTGACCGACTTTATTTTTAATTCAATTTATTTGATTGTAGGTGTAAAATTAAAAAATAAAATTTATAAATTTAAAAAACTACATCAAAAGTTCTACAAAACAAGCGGTGACAAGATTATATTTTTTTATCAAATACTGAATAAAAATAGGTAAAGAAAATGAATAAAGTTTGACCATGTGAAAAGTAATTAGGTAGAATATTTTAGGATGGAGGGAGTACTAATCAAATCAAACCCAATAAAATTAAATCAGGTTTATCTACCTTAATCTACCCCAAATATAATAAAGGGACCATCTCGTCTATTACTTCCATCCGGTAGGGCTGTAAATGGATAATATCTGTCACGAATATTGCATATCCGAATCTGATTAAGTTTTGAGATATCCGAATCCGTATCCGACAGATATTTACATTTCTATATCCGAATCCGTAATCGACGAACAATTTTCGATTTCAAAGATATCCGAATTCGAATAAATATTCGGAGCAGTCAAGTACCCAAATTCGACCGATTATCAATGTGTTCAAACCCAGAAAAAAAATGTCAAATCGGGGGAGGGATTCAAACCCAAGACTTCTAACCTTCAAATTCAATTAAAGTTGTAGCCATCTATGCTAAACCAAATGTTTGGTATTTGTAAGCAGTATATAATACATATTTATTTCTTAACACACTAGTATCACACCCGCGCGTTGCACGTGTCATATTTACGTTACTAAATTAAATTTTTTTCTTCAACGGCCATATTTAAAAGTGCACTTGAAAGAAACTAATTACGAAAATCCTTGCAAATGATCGCATTTATACTATGAAAAGTTTTTGGCCTATTCTATTTTCCTTTTTCAAAATTTTTATTTTTAAAATTACAATGTAATTTTTTTGGCCAAATTACACGGTTGGTGTTACTTACCATTTCAACATTCCTTTTTTAACTTAAATTTTTAATTTTCAACGTGTATTTATGATTCTTTCTTACCAAACCGTATATAAGAAAAACACTTTATTTAAAATACCTAAAAAGTATAAATGGAAATACAACTGTAATTTTAATTTGGATACTTTAAGATGTGAGAATATTTTTTTGTTCAAGGCAACATTTTTTTTAAAGATAGTAATTTTTTATACATGGTACCCGCAAAAAAGAAACATACCTTTTTTAATAATATTATTACATTGATTATAATGAAGTTACCTTATTTAAAATACGTATAAAGTAAAAAAAGGAAAGATAATTATTTGTTGAAGTTACCTTAAATTTTTAATTATCAATGTGTATTTATGATTCATTCTTACCAAAGTCGTGCATAAAGAAATCACTTTATTTAAAATAACGAAAAAGTATAAATGCAAACACAACTGTAATTTTAATTTCGATACTTTAAGGTATGATAATATTTTTTTTCAAGGCAATGCTTTCATGTTTTTTTCCAAAGACGGTAATATTTTATACATGGTAATCACGTAAAAGGAACCTACCTTTATTATTATTATTATTATTATTANTACCTTTTTTAATAATATTATTACATTGATTATAATGAAGTTACCTTATTTAAAATACGTATAAAGTAAAAAAAGGAAAGATAATTATTTGTTGAAGTTACCTTAAATTTTTAATTATCAATGTGTATTTATGATTCATTCTTACCAAAGTCGTGCATAAAGAAATCACTTTATTTAAAATAACGAAAAAGTATAAATGCAAACACAACTGTAATTTTAATTTCGATACTTTAAGGTATGATAATATTTTTTTCAAGGCAATGCTTTCATGTTTTTTTCCAAAGACAGTAATATTTTAAACATGGTAATCACGTAAAAGGAACCTACCTTTATTATTATTTTTATTATTATTATTATTATTATTATTATTATTATTATTATTATTATTATTATTATTATTATTATTATTATTATTACGTTGCTTATAATGAAATTGCCTTATTTAAAATACGTACAAATTAAAAACAAAAACACCGATATTTTTTGATCGATATTTTTTCACACTATCATTTCCATTTCCAAACCTTTAAATTTCATTTATAATATATAAATTTCATTTATAATATATAATGTTGGACCAAATAATATTTTTTGTGTGAGAATACTTTTATTTACACGGTATCATAAAAAGTATAAAAAAGTAATATTTATACTTTTTGTAAAAGGCATTTAAAAGTTATACTTTTTATCCTCCGTGTTAATTATACTTTTTATAACACGGTACCATAATTAATATACTTTTTATAACACGTCATTAAAAATTTTAAGGTATGGAATTACCCTATTAATGAAAATATATTACATGGGTAATTTAATTACCATAATTACCTTTTACTCGGAATTTGAATTTATTATACACGGTACATTATAATTCATAAATATTTATTACTCCCTCCGTCCTAAAACTTTCTTCCCAGAGCACTATTCCAACTTCACGGGAATTTATATTTATTTGTATTTTTTCATGGCCTATATGATAAAATAAAATATTCTTGTCACCACTTGTTTTGTTGAACTTTTGATGTAGTTTTTAAATATGTATGTTTTATTTTTTATTTCCATACCAATATTTAAATAAAATAGATTGAAAAAACTTGGGATTTTTCTTCGTTTTGCGCAACGAGAAGAAAGATATAGGACGGAGGGAGTACTTTATACATGCCACTGTTGCATGTAACACTTACCTATTTATGTAAAGCGCTTCCCTTTTGTGATTGAAGACCACTTAGGTGAAAAAATGCAAAGGGGAATTCCCTTCTTTTTAAATATATCATACTCCCTTCGTCCTAAAACTTCTTTCCACTTCCCATTTTTCTCCGTCCTAAAACTACCTTCCCATTAGAAAAAAAGATGACAAATGACATTAATACCTTCATGTATTTACACCAATTATCTTCTAACTCTATATTTTGAATGATTGCAAAAAAAATTTGCAAAAACTCTTTTTTAAGGAGGGTAAAATTTGAAGTCAACAACAACAACCCAGGTGACACAACAGTAGGGTCTGGGGAGGGTGTGTGTACGCAGACCTTGCCATTTTAAAACTATTTTTCTTGGTTCTATTTGCACGGTCAAACTTAATTTATTTTTTTGATTATTTTAATTAGTTATTTGATAAAAAATATAATTATATTACCTATAATTTAGTAGCATCATATTTTTTAGTTTTACCCTTATAATCAAATAAGTTTTGTTTAAAATAAAATCAATCAAATAAGTTTAATTTAAAATATTCTATTACCTATAATTTTGTAGCATTAGTTTTGTCGAATGTCAACCACACACCCATGATTATTTACTAATATTTGTATTAAAGAGCGTAAATAATATAATATAATGTCGATAAGGGGATATGTTATTCTCAACACGACATTTGTCACTATTTATACAAAAAAACTGAAAAGGAAACAATTGTTTTTTAAATAAATATCATCGCATTTAACTGTGTAGTTAGGTTCACGGAAATTTAGTTTACAAAATTAGAGGACATATTACTTTGTAGGTATAACTAATCAATTCCTTTTAGTTTACAATATTTTGAAAATGTATTATATAATAATAATAATAATAATAATAATAGTAATAATAATAATAATAATAATAATAATAATAATATTTTTATTATTATAAAATTGTTTGCTTAGGTTAGCAATTATTATTGTTAATTTTTTTTATAGAAACCAAGAATGGCACTGCAACACTTACCATTGATTAAATTAAAATGGAAACATATTAATTAGTAATTAATAGAAATTAAACCAAAAATGGCAAGTACAGTAATACTTACCATGTAAGGAGTCACACGAAACATAGCATTCAATAGTATCCATATATGCTTCACATGTATTGAGGCAAGATAATTAAAGTACTAAACAGTTTCCATATATTAGCATCACGTATGGGCGGGAAAAAATTCCCCTCGCTTTAAGTATAGTATAGATGTTGTGTTCTAATATTTTTTTAAAAATAATCTACATCTAACTATATGCTTTGTATATTTTTTTAAATAAACCTCATATTATTTATAATTATAGGCATACTTATTTTATGTGATAATATTTTATTATGTTTTAAAGTACTTCAAAAAACTTGACAATTTTTTTATATAAACATAAATATTAATATTTTATACGAAGCTATAGGTCATTGAATTCAGTAAATCTAGTTGACTCGTGACCTTGTTGGTAGTTCGGTTTGACGTCTGATCCGGTTTTCAAAACATTGTCGAATATCTAAATCCGATAATAAAAATTCAAATGATTATAAAAAGAACAAGAAAGTGAATGTTGAAACCCACAATACTGAACAACGTCAAATGCATAAAAAACTACTGTACAAATAATAAATACTTAACCCAAAAAAGATTTGAACAAAAATACAAATTCATAATCGATGAAATACTTTGTGGAAGTAATGAACCAAGTATCAATGTATATTGGACTGGATAAGTTATTATAAATATTAAAATAATTAATTTGGTATTCAAATAAACAAATATTTAAATAAGAGTAATTTACCAACATATGTAACAAAAAAAATATCCATTCCTGGCAGTGCAAGTCAGACTTTTTTTTTCCTGGCAGTGCAGGACGGATTTGACTAATCCGTTTCAATTTGAAAATTTTAAATGAAACGGATTTGGCTAATCCGTTCTAGGTTTTTAATTTACCAAACGGAGTAGCCTACTGCGTTTCACTTTATTAAAAAAACCCAAACGGAGTAGGCAAATCCGTTTCAGATAAAATTAAAGCCAGACGGATTAGCCTACTCCGTCTCTCTATTCGGATAACCCCTTCCCCTTCCATCGTCCACTCATTCATTCGCCATCCACGCCATCCGCCGACCGCCGACCAGAGCTCGCCATCCACCAAGCGCCGACCGACGACTGAAGGGGAAACCGCCGGGAGATCCGACCATCCGAACGGGGCAACCGGAAATCCGACCAGGACAATTCGGATTAGCCTAATCCGTTTCATGGAGGTATTTTTTATTTTTTTAGTTAATTTATATATATATATATATATTTATCATTTTATGATAATATTTAGATTTATGTTTTATAAAATTGTAAAAATTATATAGAATTACCAATTTGGGTGAATTTGTTAATTATAATTGATATATATTATTAGTTTGTAATTGCCTAGTTGTGTGCTTGTATTAAATCAATAAATTCTTATGTGGGTTGAATGAAGTGCGTTGTTATTAAATGAATAAATTGTTATTCTGTAATCTTTGAAGCAAATGGATGTTCATCCGGGACCTATTTCCCGAGACGTTTTAGTTCTTGAAGGCGGAGTACATAGGTGTGTGCAGTATGGGCGGACGAAGAATATGCCAAAAAGAGTCTAAAGTGTCATAGGACTTGTTCTAGTATATATCCGAGGACTCTAGTTGCTAATAGACCACCTCGTGTTATAGAGATCTTACAAGATTATGGATTTTATGGGGTGGAGAAAGTGGGTGGATTACAGTTAGATTAGGCTCTAAAGGATGTCGTTGTTTGCCAGTATATGCCATTGTGATGTTCACCTATGATAAGCTGGTCAAACTTTTCGCTGAGAGGCGAACCAGTGGGTATGTATGGCAGCAATCCGGGTACAATTTTCCTATGAATGTATGGAAACATATTAGGAAAAATGAAGAAAATAGGCTGTATTGTCGTGTTGTGCAGCACCACGCACAACAAGGGATATACTCTGTGGTGGTGGATGGGTCGTCCTACATTGCTCAACGGGAGACATTTACGGTGAACTTAAATGCACAAACATGTAGCTGTGGTCAATGGGTAACATTTCACCTCCCGTGCAATCATGTCCACGCAGTATGTCATTTTTGTAATGTCACCGTGGATCATTTGATTCCAAATGTTTTTTCAATTCAGTCCTACATCAACGCTTACTCTGGTATTATAATGCCGCTACCGGATGAGTCTCAATGGCCTACTCCAGAGTACGAGATCCTGAGGCCAACACCACGACAGACCACACGAACCGGCCGACGTACGAGAACCCGCTATCCGAATAACATGGACTATCGACCACGGAGACATCGTAACAAGGAATAACTTTGTCATGAATTTCAATTATGTCTGAGTTTATGTATTATTAAATTTTACAAATAAGTTAGTCATGGATTGTGTTTTGGCTTCTTCTTTTTATGAATAAATTGTTATATGTACTCTAGCAATAAAATTATTGTGTTTTGTCTTGTTCTTTTAATATCGTTATATAAATACCACTTAAAGTCAATAAATAGTATTTTGTTTAAAATTTTAATGTAGTCTATTATTTACATCTTCTATATGTATGTTTCTCGTTTATTTTGTAATTAATTTGGTTTCTTATACGTAATTTAAAAGTAACAGAAGTAAATTGATTTAATTCAGTTATTNTCAATAAATAGTATTTTGTTTAAAATTTTATTGTAGTCTATTATTTACATCTTCTTTATGTATGTTTCTCGTTTATTTTGTAATTAATTTGGTTTCTTATACGTAATTTAAAAGTAACAGAAGTAAATTGATTTAATTCAGTTATTAAAAAATTTAAAAAATTATAAAATACAATATTTTAATAAAATAAAGTTAGAAAAATTAAAAAAAAGTTTATAAAAGTGGATTTAATTTGTTAAAAAGGTTTATAAAAGAGGAGATAAAATAACTAAAAAAAATTAAAGGGAAAAAAAGGAACAAAGCAACAAATCCGTTTTTAAAGAAAATTACAAAAAAAAATAAATATTGGAACGGATTAGGCTAATCCGTTTGGTAATTAAATAAGTGGAACGGATTAGCCTAATCCGTTTAGTTAAATAATATGCATCAAAACGAATTAGGCAAATCCGGTTGGTATTTTGGGGGAAAGTCCACTTTTAAATTGCATTTAAAGGAATGAGATGCAATGTTTTTACACAAACAGGGAAATGACCCTTTAAATAAACGGTTATCTAAAAGATAAGTCACGTTTAAACGAATACGAGCTGTAATTGGATTTTCCATTATAACGGCCCAACCACTCGTTTGGTACTTCTTATTTTTTTAAATGTACCTTGATACGGAGTATTTTATTACTACATTTTTACTCTTGCAGTTCAGCCCCTGAATTCTGGGTTCTGAGCGTTTGGATCTTTTTCTCTTGTTTCAGGATTGACAGTAGAGAAAGGAACACATTTTGGTAGACACGGATTCATTTGATCTTTATTACCAGTACTTGATTCTGAATTTAGGCGTTCCTTTTTGAGAAATTAGGTTTCTTTTGTTGTTTCAAATTGAATCAGATTCAAAATTTGAGTGTTGTGTTTTAAGCTATGCATTTGATTTTTAATCGTGAACTAATATGTGTTTTAGTGAAAATTTGAATTTATCTAAATGCAAAAGTAGTTTGTAACTTTTTCCCTTTTTGACTCCAACCAATAAGAAAAAAATGTTCGAAATACTCCAAAAAGGTTTTTCATTGTTTTTGAATAAGAAAAAATCCATCCAGAGAAGTAATTTTTACTTTATTGAGTCTATAAACCTGCCACTTCAAGTTCTTTGTTCACGAACTTTTTAGTATTGCTTAACTTTGATTTCTAAATATGAATTTACATGATTCTTCTTGAAGAATTAGGCTCCCAAACACAAATAGGAATTCTGAAGTTCATAACATTTCAAAGGAGAGTAATTACTTGAGACCTAACTGTCCAACCTTTTTTTTTTGAATTCAGGTTTGCCAATTGGAAACAGTCGATGGTTTCATTTGATAGAAAGAGCTCGTATGTCTTCCTCTAGTTTGTTCGGTAATATATCACTTTAGGTAATTCAGATGTCATTTACTTTGTACTTCTGCTTTACAACATGCATTTGATTTTAATGTTGCTACCCTGAACAATATCTCGGTTTTAGTTCTGGTTTGTGTAGATATCATATCTCTTTATATGTTGAAGATAACATTGAAGATTAAGGTTATTGCATGATATTATTAATAGCTCAAGAATAAACAGCATAGAGGGAACAAGTTCCCAATGTCTTATGATGTACAATTTAGGTATTCCACTTACACAAATATACTATATGAATTCAAAAGACAATAAAATTGAAAAAAATACAAATGAAGGACACTGTTTTTCTTTTTGACCAAAGGAAATATCAAGCATTACCCCGACCTTTATACATGGAGTACGTTATTAATAAGCTAGAGTGGCACAGAGTCCACAAGCAAAGCTATTATGTGAGGTTTCAGGACTTTTTCAGGATGAGTGTATCCGTCTTGGTTGTGCTGATATGTAACAAACACAATACGAGCTAGGTTCACAATACGCCAGAGTATTTCTCCAGATACAGGTCTTGGCTTAAGAATTCCTTCATTCAAATCTTTTAATGCAATTTTTGCTGATTCTTGGAACTTTTCTAATGCTTCTTCTAGTGATACACCATATTCATTCATGTAGCATTCAATGCCTGTTGTAACTTGTCCCCTCTCTTTCTCAACCTGTGGTTGTAAAATTAGCCGAAATAATTAGCTAAGCATATATAATGATATATATACCATATCAAATGATATGGATTCTTTCAATCGAAAAAAAGAAGCAAATTATATCATATATATATGCATTTCTTACATCAAAGGTAGCGATGTCGTCGATAAGTCTGCATAAAGCTACACTCGCCTCAAGAATTTTTGGATTCTTAATCAACCAGTCAAATACTTGTTCATCAGCAGACTTCACTCCATAGCAAGATATTGTGGCTAACAAATAGTAGGTGCAACTAACAAATGCATTTCTTAAGTATTCAGCAAATACAGGCTTATGTCCTTCAATAAACCACTTGGCCTCAATAAAGTAGCATCTCACAAGCTCCTTCATCTATTTAATTGAATAATAAACACAACATTAGCTTTCTGAAATGATAATTATGGATGAAAATTTTAAAGCAAGGTAGCACAATAATTTTATCAAATTGCTATGGTGAAATATAATTAGTATACTATACTTACCCTCTCCATTGCGTGTTGAAAAGCGTATGATCTTCCATCCGTGGAGAGATCTTCGACATCTTCTTCAAAAAGATCTAATAAAGCTTTGTAGCTTATCTTCATATAGTTTGGAAGGCGATCCATTTCGTCAACATTCCACCTAAAAGTGAATGCAATTTATTAAGTACAAACTTACACCATCGTGCCATACTACATGTAGTTTGTAAAAGGATTGAATCTTGTAGACGATTCTATATTGCGATTTACGAAAATATAAGTGCTTACTTGCATATAGCATCTGTGTAGACCTCCAGTTCTTCTATGGTACCATATGCATCATAAGTGTCATCTAGAATTGAAACAATTAAAATATTTTTGGCAAGCATTACTCGAGCCTTGGAAAATTGCGGCTCAAAATACACTCCAAGTGCCCAAAAATAGCATTCAACTGCTCTGTCCCTTGCATAAGGAAGAGTTGTCACAAAGTCTAGCTCTTTCCACCACCTACATTTGTAAGAAAACTTGAAATTTAAAACGGCATGAAGATGCACATGCTGCCTGTTTACATAGAATATATATAGAATGTACCGAAATGATGACAAGAATGAATGACTAACCTTGACACTTCGCTCAGTTCTTGTTTGTGCAGCATCTGCAGATTGTTATAATCTAACTTTGCAAAGCGGAGCAACATGTCATTCCTAGACATATCATTTTCTTGCTCATACACTGAAATGAAAAAGCGTGTTTCGATTCTAGGCATGCCAGTGTGCAATGGTTGCTCGAGGGCGTGCGCCACAAGCTTCTCCAGAGTGGAGTCTGATTTCAAATTTTGATTTACACATTGAAGACGAGTCTTGGTGAAAGTGAGTGCGTCGTCCAAAACGTCATCCCCATGTGTGCTCGCATATGAAGCTTCATACAGACTCAACAAACCCTTGATATCGGAGGTATCCTTGAATTTGTTGTTGCTATCAACGAAGTTGTTGAATATATCTACATCAAAATTTTTTGAGACAGTTTCCTAGTAAGTAAAGTGAATCTTATACGTCAAAACTATAGCTACGTCCATGTTATTATACGAAATTATATTGGCTGTGTTTACCAGAAGAAATCTTGAAGCCATGTTGTCTGAGCAGGCGAAATTGAAGAGAAACAGTTTCCAAATCATCATGAGAGTGTTGTGCATGATGATGGGTGATGTAAATGTGCTGCAGTTGATCTTCAATCTCTCTCTCGAAATGATAGGCTACTCCGAGTCGTTCAAGTAAGTCGATGAATTTCAGTCTCTCTGCGACATTGTAGTTGCTTGAACTAGTCAACGTCGCCCTTGTTTGCTTCTTCAAAATTTCAATCTCTTTTGCATATGCCTCTGCAATCTGCAGACACACAACAAACCATGTTTAGATCTTAAGACTTTGAAGTGGTGGATCAAAAGTATAAAGAAAGTTTGAAAATATTTATATATATACTCCGTATATTTTTTACAAGGTTCAATATTACACTGAATTAGCACAGTATATATTTATCTGTAAAAATGTATTACTTTGAAATCAAAAAGTCAACAACCAAGAGATTAGCAAGAGAAAAAATTGAGAGATTTAATTAATGGAAATCAATTACCTTATTGTCAATGGAGTATGAATAGAATTGGTCACCCCATAAACTGGGAGGGAAGTCTACAACTGGGCGAATGATTTCGCTTTCGCTCTTCACACCCGAAGTTGCCATTGTATCGTATTGTGGATCGATTGATAAGCTTAGTTAGAGAGTTGAACTGTATATTAGGATGGATGGATGGATGAATGAATGAATATATGAATGAATGAATGGATTATGAATGGGAAGGCAAGTAAAGCCGAGTATTTATATAGTCCGTGGCAACTGTCAACTGAAGCACCACCAATATTATATTAGGGTCAATTTAGGAGGACAGTGGTCAAATAAGACCGTACTGGTGAATTGAAATTGCCGTATTTTTTTTACTACATACGGAGTATATATTACTTCTTTCATCCCAGAGTCATTTGAGTGTTTCGGTTGCTTTGATTGAATTTATTTTTAGTTCAATTCGATTGAGAATTGACGCAGAATTAAATAATAAATTCTAAATATTTAAAACTACATAAAAAGTTCTTCACTATATTATTTGTAGATAAAGTAAATGAAATTTGAGTGTTTTGAGTGTTTCAGTTGTGATGTTTGATTGCATTTATTTTTAGTTCAATTTTATTCAGAATTCGCACAGAATTTAAAAATAAATTACAAATATTTAAAACTATATCAAAAGTTTGTAACAAGATATGACGATACTATATTATTTGTAGAAAAAGTAAATGAAACTTCATGTGAATAATAAATATACAACTTAATGTGGGATTGAAGAACTCTGGAGAAGTATATTACCCTCTCCGATTTAAATTAATCTTATTATTTCTTTTTTGAAAAATTTTTCGTGGCTCACTTTTTTTCTCTTTTGCATCATTTTCAACTATAGAATTTTATTTTTCTTAAACTTTGTACAAAGTCAAATTAGAATGATTAATTTGGGACGGAGGAAGTATTGAATTATGGATTTATTCGGATGCTATTCTGAATTTTTAAACTCCATAAATTGACAAAGTTGACTGGGTGACATCTACCAGCCGCCGTCACAAGTTTAAATACGGAGTACTAAAAAAAAAATACGGAGTACTTATAGTGTATTTTAATTTAAATTATACTCCGTAATCCAAATCTTAGAAATGTGGTCAACCAATAGCAATTTAAAATTGCAATCGATGACATAGTAAATATTCACAAAATATCCATACAAAATAATAATCCTCACATGGTGCTCAAAATCATTTCTTAGATTAAGTATTTTTAAAACAGTTTTTTGGGGGCATTTAAAAACTGTTCTTTACGGAATACATATATCTTAAATTATTTTAAAATTTTGAACAAATTAGGCAAAATTGACCAGAGAGCACGCCGGACGTGTTACCAAATTAGGCAACTTGACATCCCATAAGCATCGTCTATATCTTTGAGCTTGATTTGACTCCAACGATATTTTTTTAATCCTCTGTGTCGACACTTGATTAACTTCAAAATTGTTTGATACCATTGCATTTTAAAATGTAACGATACAATATCATACTATGCTAAAATCGTTCGAAAAAATCAAGCGTCCATAATTCACATATTAAAATGATAATACAACCATTTTTAAAAAAATAAAGTGTACAAAATTAAAGGATCGTAATCGCAAACAAAGGATGACAAGTCTATATTTGAAAAGCAATGACACGTTTTTCCAATAATACAATATAGGACTATTAATGGGTATAAAATAATATTAACAATAATCATTATAATAATACAGTGTTGTAAATTTGAGAAAAAAATAGAGAAAGAATACAAAAAGAAGAAAAGCACAAGACAGACTTTGTTCTCTTCAATTTATTCTTATTGAAATTTAGATCAGATTAGAAATAGCTTCAAATAATACTAAAATCAAATCAAACCAAATCAGATCAAAAAAAAACTTCTTTAAATATAACTTAAATCAAATCTGACCGGATCAAAACTAATCAGATCAGTTGAAAAGAACAAGCCCATCGAGTACTTATATGATAAGATGAAGTGCACACATAAATACCTGATCCCTGGTAATCGGTTTTAGGTTTTTGTATCTCGTTCATGTCTCCTTTGAAATCGATTTGGGTTTGGTTCGAGATAAAAAAACAAATCTCCTCTAAAAACATGATAAATAGTTTGGTACCATTACAGTTTGGTATAATACTATACTAATTTAGTTTTTTACCCATCTTACAAGTCCCTTTGCCTGACAATGGCTATTTTTGTCCATAAAACAAAGTAAAATCTCATGTTTTTTAAATTTATTTATTTAAAAAATAGTATAGAAATAAAATGTAAAATTTAAATGTTAAGAATTTACATAAAAAAAGTCTAAGACAAGACCTCAGAATTCTGGCCTTTAACGATGATATGACCTTAGATAAAAACTTTGGAGAGATAAGATTGAATAGGGTACTTGGATAGATATTTTGGGCTTGACGGTAGTTTTTGCATTTGTTGCTATATGTTTTTCATGGTTGGTGCATCGTGCTTGTTGTGCTTTTTTTCCGCTAATATTAGTTTGTTCTTTACTTTTTAAAAAATTTGCTTCGTACATGACTAAAAGATAGTACGTTTCCCTAAATAGGACTAAGTATGTTTTATTCCATTTATGGCACATAATTCCATAAGATCTTCCATATATGCCTTCATTATCAACAAGTGTTGGACAATGACTGAATATAGGAATAATTCTACGAATGTGTTCATTAGAAACAAATGTTGGATAAGGACTGATTATTTCAATGACTATTTAAATCGTTTTTAATAATGTCTTATTCTACTTGAATTGTGTAATTAGTCATTTTTCTTAAAGGTAGAGCATTTTAGAATTTTCCATTGCCAAACGTTAGATTAGATATGACCGGTCCTATTTAGAAAAAAGTGATATATTTAAGTTCCATTTGCGTTAATTTCCCTTACTTATTTGTGCTCCGTGCTTTCTTTTCTTTGTGTGTCTTATGTAAACATGTGATATCAATGTCATTTGGGATAGAGATATCTTGGAATCAACTTCTCTAATTTTGAGTTGGAATAAGGTCGACGCGCACACACGTCCGAGTTCCTACTCTTATAAAATTCAACTGGGTCATTGTTGTTGTTGCTATTGTTGTTGTTAGATACTGAAGTGAAACTGTAAACTTCATTTTGATACGGAGAGAACTTAGATACTCTAGAATATGGCTGTCACTTCCCCGATAAAAAATTAAATATTCTCCCCCTCCAATTTTTTTTCTTTTCTTGTATGAACTGGTTGGTACATAATAAGATTGAAATGGTATGGATGAAGTTTATCAAAAGCTAAGAAAGAAGGTGAATCAAAAAATTAATTCTTTAAGGTCCCGTTTGGTACATGAAATTCAAACTATAGAATTGGAATTGAGGATTTCAATTCCAATTCTTGTATTTGGTAGCACAAAAATTTTGTAGATTTGGAATTGGTAATGTAAAAAATAAATTGGAATTGGTGAATTCAATTCTATGGAATTGAATCCCATGGTATTTTAATTCCAATTCAATTCCAATTCCATCAATTCCGTGTACCAAACAGACCCTAACAGAAATTGATAGAAAATTTTGGAGCATCTCAAGAATAGAACAAAAAGAGATATATGGGATAGTGTAGGTACCATATTTCTCCATTTGAAACCGAGTACAAATTTTTTACGGAGTACTTACCAACATCTATGTAAAATATTTAAATACATTACGGAGTATAATAAAGGGTACTTGGACAGAATATCCTCCAAATCTGTGGGATTGGATAAAAACATTTGGCTTATGTAATTAGATAAAGCATTATCAATTCTCACCCATTGATGTGTATATTAGGTCGAGAGATAAATATCTTTGTAATTAGTCCTATTAACATATCCGATTTGTAGCCTAAGCAGACTTGGCCCAGACCCGTGGGTGGTCCATGAGCTTGATGGACGGGTCGACACTCCTAGGCTATTATTGTTAGCCCAAACTTGGCCCGTACTATTTTTATTGAGAGTAGAGCTCGTGATATAATATTTTCGGTGGAATTAAATTCCATCACCCATGTCCACAAAAAACAATAAGCAATATATTTCGTAACATGAAAATGTGTTTAATTATCCAACATATAGACATTATAGTTCTTACTCAATCGCTCTTAATTTATAATGGGTGTGTTTGGAAATTGGCCAATCAACAACGATTGATTTAGGTCCGTAATTTTTTTTTTTGGCGAATATCCATTTTGCCTAGCAGATGGGATTGAACCACCAATAATGCAAAAGCGGGGATGAGCAACATTTTTTTTCATGCCGATAATGTAGCAAATTTTTTTCCTTTTAACTTACAAACTCATTCCGTCCTAGAAAGTGAAAGATATATTGACTAAAGTTGGAAAATTATGAAGCCTTTTTTGTGCCTTGACCTTATTATAATGCCCCCATAACCTAAATTAATAGTAAGAAGCCTCAAATCAATAAATAGTGTACAACATGAATATAATATAAATAAAGTACATTTGCATTACCTAATAGTATAAGACAATGATGATAACAAGCCACAAATTCTCTCCCACGAGGCAATTGGCAGTAAATCAAAAGAAAGTAGTTCAATTTTTTTTGGGGTTTTAGGGGAAATTCTAGTTTCCCTCCATACTTATCCCTCCAAAATTAAAAATAAAAAAAGTACCCTTTTATTTATATGAATGCATTGAATGCATTCATTTACAACTTTCCCATTTTAACTTTGCTTTACACCATACCATGGCAGTAGACCCCATGGGGGGTGACTCCTCTTTGCACCCTTTTTCTTCAACATTCACATCTTTTTGAGAAAAAGAATAAGCATCTGCACACCATTTTCCTCCTGTAATTGAGGTACCTTTTGCTAACTTTTTTACCTCTGAAACAGACAAACAAACGAACAGAAAAGGTGCGGTACAAAATCAAATAAGGAAAAGGGTTACTGATGTTTTACTACAGCATGTAAGGGATGGCAAACTTCAGCATGGTAGCATAAATAAAGTTGCTGAGGAATTCCGCATTTCCAGGAAAACAGTACGCAAAATTTGGTCCATAGCTAAAACTCAGTTGCAGGTTGGCCTATCCATTGATGTTCAATGCAAGTGGAAAGGAAATTGTGGGAGAAAAAAGGCACCTATTGACACAGAAAAGATGGCATTCGTGCCTTTTAATAGGCGCAAAAATATGCATGCATTTGGGTATGTTATGGAGATGTCAAAATGACCATAAGGACCCCAGGTCATCTCATGACATTGATTCTCAATGTCATGGGAATCGGGATGACAGTATAATGGCTAGAAGGGTTCATATATAGTAATTAATAAATAATAATAAACTAACCCAACAAAAAGGTTAATTATAATGACTAGGATTCCTTTTTTATTGTAAGCATTGTGCTTATAATGTCGTGAATTACCCACGATCAGTGGGGCTGCCCTTCTCTGTATCGTGCAATCTGATTAGTGGGTTAGGCCCAGCCCACCATATACTTTACACCTGGGTATCAAGCCTCCTTATTCTTCTTAGGCCGTGGTAGTGAAACTCTTTGGGCCACCCTGGTCTACTGATTGGCTTGATATCCATCACGATCCTTATGGTACTCTATTCAAAAAATTGATGATTCTTACCTACCTAACCCCCTGTAAACCCCTCCCTAGCCCGACACGAACCCACTCCCTCACTCATCAATTGCACCTCATAATATTTAGTTGACTTTGAAGTCAAAATTTAACTCCAAAGTCAACTAAATCTTGTAGGGTGTAAATGTGTAATTGAAGGGGGTGGGGATAGATTCAGGTTGGCATGGAGAGGCTTAATGAGGGAGTTAAAGGGGGTCAAGCCGAGATGAAAGGGTTTACCAAGAGAGTTAGAGGGGTTAAGAATTGTCATTTTTTCGAACAAAGTACCGTAAGAATCCCGGGTCATCACATGACATTTTAACAATGTCATGGAAATCAGAGTGATAATATAATGGCTAGAAGGGTTCATATACAGTAATTAATTAATAATAATAAACTAACCCAACAAAAAGGTTAATAATAATGGCCAGGATTCCTTTTTCATTGAAAGCATTGTGCTTATAATAAAAACGAAAATGCTGGAGTCACATATAAATAATTCACAAACTTTTTCTTGCACTCTATTATGTACTCGGATTATCAAATAATAATAATAACAACAACAACAACAATAACAATAATAATAATAATAATAATATTAAGAACAACAACAACAAGAATAATAATAATAATAATAATAAGAACAATAACAACAACAAGAATAATAATAATAATAATAATAATAATAATAATAATAATAACAATAACAATAAAATAACAATAACAATAATAATAATAATAATAATAATAATAATAATAATAATAGTAACAATAATAATAATAATAATAATAATAATCATAATCATAATCATAATCATAATCATAATCATAATCATAATCATAATCATAATCATAATCATAATCATAATCATAATCATAATCATAATCATAATCATAATCATAATCATAATCATAATCATAATCATAATCATAATCATAATCATAATCATAATCATAATCATAATCATAATCATAATCTTAATCTTAATCTTAAT